ACCTCAGACGAATACAAATACAAGAGATTTTGAATCTCGTGGCAAGCGCCATAAGTTCAGCTCATTCAGTCAATATCCGATGGTTCATATTTTTAATTTCTGTAAGTTTTGTGATACCAAGGTATCCACATCAAATCGAATCAGTCGTTTACTGACTTGATTGAATACTAAGGTCACGGCCCTTCACAAGCACCTCACAAATCATAGTTAAATTTCAAGCGTTTTTAAAAAGAGAATAGTTTTTCGGAACTTTTGTTTATTCCTCAGACAATTTCTTGAAGAGCTGATGCTGGCCGTAAGTGTCTGGTTCAATTTCATAAGAATTTTTCGGTACGCAATTCTCATAAGTTATTCTAAACTAAAATGATACGATTGTCCAGGATTCACTGTATATTACAACAATGTTATCGTGAATAACTATAATGTAAATTGTATATTCATAATTAAGTATTAAATAGCACACACCAGTGTGAATTGTGTGGCCGAGCAGAGATTACTCACTGAAATTGAATCAATAACATAATGGCTTCAAATGAACAGATATGGTGCTAGAAGAGACAACAAACAAGCACCAGAATCCTTCTCTTTTTTCCCTAATAAAATATAAAACGCCTATACGCAAACTGTTTAGCACAAAAATAGACAACTAAAATTCATCTGAAATATATAAATGATTGCAAGGAAAACATTTTCTAGGTCATTTATTGACCAACGAGATTATGACCTGGTTATTCTTGTCCATCATTATCAATTACCGACACAGAAAATGCAAAATAGCAACTGTATTTGTACAAGTCACGATTGTAAAATTATTTTATAGCAAAACAAAATGGTATACGATTTTACACAGGAAATAATCAATACCAAAAAATCAAATGACAAACGCTAAACAGGTCAAAGCTTCATTTATTTTGCATTTATTCAATATTGTTTATGCATTGTTGACTGGTGCTTCTAGTGTAATTGTGTATTAATATTTATACACAGTCTATTTTTAAAGAGAAGTGAAAGCCGACTATTCTAATAAATTCACTCTAGTGGATCGAGTAAATGAAGATATCAAATAGCAAATTCAGGAAGCCGATACGCTGAGATAAATATCTGCATTGCAAATCAGTCAGAGTATGAATTATCGGTAAAATATAATAGATGTGGAAACTTTAATCCTCAGAGACAGTCATTTTCCGACTATGGACTACCAACAAACGTCGAATTTCTCGTAGCATGAAACTATAAGAATCCAAGAGAATTTCTAGAGGGATGTTATTCAGATAACTTAGCAATCAATGGGCACATTGAAATACCCGAGAAGTCACTCAGTTAACCAACCGATATAGTCATCATGAATACAAGGACAAATGAAGACAATCAAACCTACGAATATAGCCAGCTACAAATAAATCTATTAAAACAAGCTGATACAACAGTTGTAGAATAACTGGAAAGATTGCTTTTATATGTAGTAAGCGTTGACATTGTTCAGAACGATAAAAAAAACTTAACATTTAAAAAACCTTGCTTAGAAAATACAACACCATCAACAACTCTAAGACATCTATATTTATCATTCCCTAATTATTTCTACTCATTTAACATTTTAATATGCTGATCATATCTAACAACAGAAGATTTATCATAAGGTAGTTGACAAAGTCTCTAGTTGCATTCGTTTGAGCTTCTTTTTGTTGTTGTAGAATTTTCCATTCCAACGTAATTGAAGCCATCAACCTGAGCCTATAACTAGGTCCAAGGAGAAAACGGGACTTTCCTCACAAAGAAACCTAACCTTATTCCGACCGACGGGCTTCTCAATGAAAGTATACTCTGGTGCTATGCGTTTCTTAGTTTGCAAGAAAGTGTATAGGAATGTTTTTATCCCTTCTGAGTCATACGTAGACGATTATTATCAGGATCTGTTATGATCTGGAAGGACTAACGTATATTTAAATTGGTTCACTTTCTGTCAAGCTACCTGTAAATATTCATTTAGACGTGTTTTGGCCTTTCCCATAGATCAATCACCATGCAATTTAGAAGTTCGACTTACCTCTTCTTCCTCTTTAACCCTTCTTGGCCGTATATGTTACTGGTGTAGCTACCGCCAGGACTTAATAGATTTTTACACCCATTAAGTGAGATATAATTGCATTGTAACTCATCAAGCATGGATACTTAATGCGATGAGAAAATATTCTCAGATTAGAACCTTAATTAAGCCAAAAATGGATGTTTTTGAAGTGTATTCTGTGTTAACTAATCAACAATAATGTAAATGATTGTCACATTTCAAAAGAATTACACTGTTACTTGAGGTTATATCGGATATCCTTTCAACCATTATGCTAACAGATATAAGTAGTGTGGAAGTGTAATGCCTGTCAACAGATGTTTAAACTGATGAGAACAGGAAGGGAACCAGAGAGCCTTTGGAATAACGAGAGAATTGGAAGAATCATGAAGTATGTCAAGGACGACTGACGGAAAATGTGCAAATACTGTATCTAATGGATGATTTTCATATTTTGTAAAACCATCGTGTAATTTTGCACTAAATAGTAAACTGGTTTTATCTACCTCAATTTTCGTACACTACACAAGCACTAGATATACTTAATAATTCTGAGTAACAGAAATACACAACCTAACACAATGCTTGACTTCAGCTCTTAATACATATCATATTGTTGATGAGTAGAAAAAGTCACTGAAAAAGTACCTTAATAAATAATAATAGTGTGTTACCAAGTGATTAGCTTGAAGGATTGCTCTCCAAACTTCCAACGACATAACTTTATAATCTGTGGATTTAATATTGTAGTAAGGGGAACAGTACTATATTAGCAACACTAGATAATGTTCGTTTTATGTTTAAAATTGATTGGAGTTGAAGGTGAAGTATTTTGGACTCAAGCTTAATAGTTTGCAGACTTGAGAATCCTAAAACTTGTAACTTTCTGGCAACACCTTTTGAGAGAATCATTAAAAAAATCTTTCCAGTGCTTCCCGATTATCATTGATTTTCGATCTTATATAGTTGTATTGTAAAAAATTACATGAAACTCAGTAGTTTCGTGAATAAGTGGAAGGCATTCCGTTCGTTATCCCTGACTATTCTATAGCCACTCTAATTCTATTGTACATAAAGGTTTACGTAAAACACAAGCGGGTTAAATCTATAGCTAAGGGATTAGAAGTCATGCATGTGCGAATTCCAAATCGTCTAATTGGTTCTGGGCTGTCCATTGTATTCCATGTTTTCCCTCATATGTCAAGGTCTTCATAATCCAGTCACCTACCAGAAGAACGAGAAAGGTGGAGAGTTAGAATTCTTATTTAAATCCAGTCCTCACTTGAAATGTGTCTGTCAGCTGTCCTCCATACACGACCTTGCACTGTATTCCATCATATGAGTCCCGGATAATGTTGACAATCTTCTCAGGAACTCCGTAGCATCGAAGGAGTTTCCATAACGTCCTCCTATCCACACTGTCAAATGCCTTTTCATAATCAATGAACTTGATGTATGGTGACGAGTTCCACTCAACTGATTGTTCAACGATGATCCATAGTGTTGCAATTTGGTCTGTGCACGACCGATCCTTACGGAATCCAGCTTGTTGATCTCGAAGTTGAGCGTCTACTGCGTCTTTCATCCGGTTCAGCAACACTCTGTTAAAGACTTTCCCTGGTGTTGACAGTAGTGTAATGCCTCTGTAGTTTTCACATTTGCTCGGATTTCCTTTCTTTGGAATCTTGATGAGGTGTCAGCTTTCATCATGCGAATCATTTATTTTAAACACACTGAGTTTATATACAAACCAAAAAGATCACATCACACCATAAAATAGGAAATAACATTTGTACAAGATTAAGCCAAAAAGTGGCTGTGAATGTGGGAGACTAATTAATAAACTGAGTATAATTTAAGAATAGTAAATCGTATCATAATAGTCTATATGTAAAAATAAAGCTTATAATAAGAGGAATATCGAGTTACTGAGTAAGAATATATATAATATTAGTCCATTAATAGTTCTCAGAGGTTACCTATAACTTAATCCTCACTAAGATATAACAAGTGGTGAGCGGCCTATTCTCCTCTACGAGGAGTAACAGGCGTAAGTAAGTGAGTAATCTATTTGTTATAGTCTCTCATACTCAGAGCCACTTTTGCACTCATCTTGTATAATTGTTATTTTGTTATTTTGTGATATGATGCGGTTTGATTTGCTTGTATAGAAAATGTGTATGTTTGAAATATACTTTTTATACAGTGGAGGTTGAAATTGTTTTCTGATCTCAACGGGCAGGGATAAGCGAGAAGGACCAATAAAGATTCAGAGTTGACACGTGGCTGCTAGTGCTATTTTGATTTGTCATTGGTTTAACACAAGAGCAAGGTCATATAAGTCGGTATTCGCGTTGGCGATTTTGCTCCGTAATAATTCACAGGGACAAAAATCATAACAGATTTACCCTTTTGTTGTTAATCTCGACTGAACTTCGATCAATCTTTGTAGGCTTTTATGTTTTCTCTGTGGATTAATTCCATACGGCCATTTTGTCAAAGGTTTTAGGGAAAAGATGGATTTGGACTAGCAGTAGGACACAGGATGCTTGTCTTATCTTATTTAGGACTTTTCAATGTTGATATCAACATTGAGAAAAGCCTTAACTTTTAAACAAAACTAAGTAAACTTTAGTGTGCATGCCTAGTTAGAAGTAATTTATTTTTTCAATACATAAGTTAAACTATCCTTAAATTAATTAAGGTTTATTTTATTATCATATGATACAAGTATACTGGAATTATGCACTTCTAACTAAAGAACAATTATGTACTAATTACCTAATTAAATAATGAATGGTACTGAACTCATACATAATTACTTTCGTGTGTGTGTGTGTGTGTCAATACATCAACCAATCAGTTTTCGAATAAATTCAAACAATAAAACAGTATCATCAATTGACTGGAAATAAAAAAAGCCATTCCGACAATTTCATACGACATTACTTCCGAGAAAAGGGAAATTCTCAAATTCATTCTATCGGAATAATACATAACTAAATACGTATATAACAATTGGATTTAATAAAGATATTAGTAATATTGTGTGTTACCATGTCGTGGAGAATAACGGAAGCCAATGATAGCTTTTTGACATGTTCATCACTAACACGTGAAGAAACCACAGAACAACCAGGTGGGCCAGCACCAACCCCAACCGATAAAACACTGACTCGAATTATTTCAACAATAAATCATGAAAATTTGGATTATTTCCAAGAATCATTTAATAAATGTCAATTAACCATAGAAGATATTCTTGAAATTCTTGAACATCTTACATCATCACGGTTAAAATATCAAAGAAATTAAAATCATACAGCATGAACAAAAGATGAATAAATCAGTAGATACAAGTATATATTAATAAAATGATGTATCTATCACTTATAATGCACTATTTAAAGATCATGTTTTAAATAAATGAATTATCTTTATTGAGCTGTATTCCTACATACAACGTTTTGAAATTACTAAGAAATAGACTTTCGTATCATTTATCTTTATTCAAAACGCCTGTATAGTTAATGTAATGATGAATTACTTTTGATTACTGAATATAGATTTTATTGTAATCTTTACCTAAATAGATCTTTATTAAATGTATTCAATTATGTGTGATAAGGTATCTAATCAATCTCAAACATTAAAGAATAAAAAGCTTATCAGTGATCATTTAAACAAATAAACATGACTAATTCTTATTGTACTTACCATAAAATCTTAAGTTTTTCTTTTTAAAATTTGATTTTATTGTAAATAGTAAATGTGAACTTTTGGAAGGTTTCAATCTTGTTTCAAATCAAGAATCCCTCCTAGTTATTAATAATCTTCGAATTAATGTCAATTAATGTTGGAATACAATCTGAAAATTGAGTAAATTACCTCGATTGATCAATCAAAAATGATTCTTATCTATTGGGAAATATTCCTTTTAATTATTATCATAATTTTGTAGGCTGTATTCATCACAAATTGATCTCATTCGGGGTATCATTAGAAACAGTTTAAGAATGACACACCTATCTTCCTTCGTGTTTTACTTTTTAACATTACATACCAAATACTCTTTCATGAATTGAACTTAGGAGTTTTAAGTCTCTCGACGAACGCTTAAACGTTAAAACCATTGCATCATTGTCCAGTGATGTAACCCAAACATTAATCAATTTGCGATTTATCGCAAAGATTAACCTAGTTATCAATGGTACTCTAAATGAGGTTACTATCTGACGTATACAACCTAGAAATTAGATCGATCAATCCGAACCAATAAATGGTTTTACTAACATTTAGTTCATCATAGTTTACTCTCCTACTACTTAAAATAATCACCGATATCTTTTGCAATCAGAACTTTAAAGATTTAATTAATGAAGTTGATCAGTTAGCCATTTCCTTATCAAATCGGTGTATATCTAAAGTGAAATACAAATCAGGTAATTTCAAAGTGTTTCTTACAAGAAAAACAGAAAATAAAAACAACCTAATTAGAATAAAATGACGTCATACTTATTTCATTGATATCAGTATTTATTTTTGTACGCAAGGTGAATAGATGTAAATGTGAATACACTTTTGATATTTTCAATATATAATGTTATATTGTATCAAAACATTAAAGATTTTTATGAAGAAGGTTACATTGTTAGGTAGTAGATTTACACTCAATAATCATACTCTCTTCATTCTATGAATCAATTATACAAACTAAACTAACTGATACTTTGTATGAGGTTCTTTGTTGAGCATAATTAGTATATTCAGAGCATACATTCTATTCCATTTAGTAGATTTTAGACTTATACTTCATGTCACAGCCTTATCTTGTTTAAATAAACATCGAAAATCAGGAAGCACTGAACAGCTATTTCATTTTAGTACGGGACTATTCAGCAGTATTCACCAACGATCCCAGGACCTTTTGTTTTACTAGGAGCGCCTAATTTCTAGACCACTGAGGTAGCATTCAAGGGTGCATATATCTAACTTCAATCAATTCGCCATATTATTTGACCATCTTTCATTGGCTTCGGTCGATAATTGTCTCACACCCGATTTAGATTTCACTGGTTACAGTATCTCACTAGAACTTCTGGAACCATATCTGATAGTGAGTCTCCAGTGGGTAAGTGATCATTATTAACATAAAGGTTTCGTAGAGATTATTAAAGTTTCTTTATTAAAATCATGGACTGAACTTAGTTAAACAACTACTGGCTTGATTGATAGACAAGATACAATAATGAATGTGTAATTAAGAAATCTTTGTATTAAGTGAGTGTGCTTTGTAGATGGAAATTAATTGTTTCTACCATACCCTGGATAACCTTAACTTTAATGAAAACTCACTTAACAACATTATGTGGATATCCTTGTGATATATATATATATATATATATATATATATATATATAACCACTTCGAATTTAATTTCTATCATTAAAAACTAACTATTATTTGGATTAATGACTAAGTGTTCAACTCAGTAGTTTTAGTAACCACTTGAAAAGACATATTGTTAAAATCATTCTAAACATTAAAATTCCCTAACATTTACTAAAAAGAGAAAATAAGTCTAATTGGATCTTACATGTGACTATCATACTCCGTTCCTTTTAGTTATAATTGAAATATTTTATTTTTCATCAATGATCAATATCACATTTCTGTTTCTTCTTCTTCTTCTTCTTTCTTATTTCCTTTGATACACCAACTTACACACTAACTACTAAATTAATAACAAATAGAAATTTTAAATGAAAAAAAGGACTTGAAGAAGTGGATTCATTTTTAGACGATGATTAGATTTTTGAAATAAAACCGTTTACTTTCGATTTCCTGATAATCCTCGTGACGAATTGACATTAATTGGGAAATGACCAAGAATCAGGTAACAATTGTACTTTAAGACTCTTTAAACGTATTTATTCACTATCATATAGAAGATTGAATTAAAGATTTTTAAGTTTTGATGTAAACTTGATCTCTTTAAACCAATAACTTGATATTAAATGGTTTACATTTCTAACTTCAGTCAATTCATGATATATAACTAATGTTAATTAATAGTTTTAGTGATACATATTTCACATTAAAAATGAATGAACTTCTCTAGTCAATACTTATTAGAATGTCTGAAATATATATGGGTGGTGTTTGGATTCATAAAGCAGGAGATTTCCAGTACTTATTAAATTATAAAGAAAATAATTTCTAACTTGATTAATCGGAATAAATAGTTAGTGGACTTTGTACCATATAAGGATTTTGATCAACTGCCTGGACTAAAATATGAGGTTAGATTCACAATGAACTAGCTTCATACTATCGAATCTTATAGATTTTTCCAGAAGATTATGAAGTAGTTTCATCAGCATACCATGTCTATATCAGAAGCTTCTTATCTAATTCTTATACCAAAGCATATATTGTTGTCAGCTAAATAAGCCTGTAACACTGAAACAATAAATTTTTGTTAAATTCATTTGATATATAACTTTGATCACCAGTATGTTAACATCTGAATGCTTGAATATACTATCGTATGAATTTATCAACTATGCTTGACCATTTAACTTACTAATGGACTCCCAAAAATACAGTTCTTCTGTTTGATAATTGTGGCAGTACATGATTTACAATCTCAAAAGGAAAATAATCCGTCACGTAATTCTGTTTTCAATTGTATCAGGGTTATTTTATCAAATTACTATTTCTTGTCATAGACCTATAATTCGATAAATTGTTAGGGTGCCGCTTCATGAAATAGCGCTTATTGTGTATCAGACAGGTTTTACTAACCCTCTATAAGTGAGAGAAATATTCAATACATATCAGTTAATTAGTAAAAAGAGGACAATTACTCAATCTGGACTTTTTTAGCACGGAGGATCACAAGTGAATTTAAAAACAGATGCTTTGGCTATGGTCATTGACAACGTTTACAATGTTCACTATGTCTGTTTTACATAACATTTTCACTCATTTCTCATTCTATTTATTGGGTAATTGCTGCATTTCAAGCATTTAGAGGTATACAAAACTGCTCTCCATGAACATATCAAAGCGGTGTAACCAAGCATTTCGAATTGAGAAAACAAATATAGTGCAAATCATAGATTCAAATAAAATCCCTGATAAAGGTTACACTAGCATTTATCAACTAATTAAATGAGCAGAATAGTCAAAATTACTGGATATATCTCAGCCAATATTATCGGTGGAGAGACTTAGACTGACGCTATTACATATTCTAATGTAATCTATTGATCGTTCACATACGGATGTAAATAAAAGGCATATAAATTATGTACAGTCCAATTTGTTGGAAAATCGTAGATAGTTATAAGTTTTCTATAATGAATAAATAATGAGACAGGTCTGTGCAAGCCATGAATTCACAAATATGTTAAACATATGTCTAGATTGGACAATTAAATGAGTCACCTAATCGATTATCCAAGTATGGAATTGAGATGACTAATACTGAATACTAATTTAGAGATGCATGCCTTTGTATACATGTAACTAATTACATATTTCATTGTTTGAAATGAAGAGTACCTTAAAATCGTTTTACTACTACCGCTACCATACTTGTTTTCGTTATGTTAATACATATACAATTACTGTGGCAGGTGAATATCTATGATTAACATTCAGTTCATGCTAATGATTGCAAATAATTTAAGTATTAAAGTCGAATAACGGGTAGCAGTAGAATCCAGGACAAAAGTTTCACCTTATTTTGGAATCGTCACCAAGATGTTCCTGCATTCTATTGCTGATATTTGCAGTGAGACTCGAACACTGTACATTTCAGTTCAAACACCACCTACTACCGAACTCAGATAACCATAAATTTGTTTTACGTGTGTGTAGGTATTAGTGTTAATACGAACGGATTTATTACTTGATATAAAGATCGGTTGGTAGGTAATGGAGATAAGATTTTTAAAAAATATGCTAAGATGTATGTTGATCAGTATTATATAGGATGTAAAGCGAATTCCCACTTTTAACACCATTCTTTGAAAAGAAAATCGTTAAAGAACTCTTCTTAAATTCATTTACATTTTGTCTATTTCCACTGAGTAACTAATGCAGTTGTTAGGAAACGGGTACTAAGTAACGACGGCAAATCAACTGATCAAGTAGTAAACCTTCATCAGTTGAGATGGCTGGGATACGTGTTACGTATGCCCAACCACCGACTGCACCGACGTGCGATGTTTTATGGTGCAGGAGTAGGTTGGAAGAAAGCTAGGGGTGGCCAGATCAAAACATGAAGTCACTGACAAGTGGACTGA